GTCCCACCGCAAGGTGAGTATCTAGTCAGGGATGTGCAGCTCGCTGTCCTTGGTCATACTCCAGCATAATCTTCCACCACCGCGATGACTAGTTAACTCACTTGGAGCCCCAAGGATTCTGCGTGTGCAATCACGATGGCTGATCTTGAGGGCCTGCTTTGTGGCTCGTTAGATCTTTCACTCCAGGTCCGAGGCGCAAGCAGGCGTACCGAAAAAGATGTATGCTCTTCGAGAACGGTCCCAGCCTCATCTATTGTTAGAAGTCGCTCATCCCGCCTACTTTCACTGAACCAACGGTACTCCGTAGTTGACAGAGCGGCTCTAGGGAAAGGAAGACTGGTTGCCCACTGCCACAAAGTAAATGACAAGATCTCCACTGGTTGACAGGATAGTCGGTCATAAGCTATGATACTAACTACCAGTTAGCTAGTTAAACCACGGTCTAGAAAGAGTAGATTTCTAACAATGAATATACAGTTACTTGAATCCCTCTGAGGGTACTCCGTACGTGCGCTCTTACGCGCGAAATAATCATCTTGCATTGTGCCTTAGACTCTGTTCACCCTGGATACACTTCGTACCTGGCAGTACAGAAACCAGATGGGTCGCAATCGGCGTCCTTCAAGAGCCAGTTAAATAAAAGGCTCGCACAGCGCAAGAGATCAAAAATGGATTGGATCTTCCCGTCCAACCCGCCTCCCCTGTGGAGTTAAGGGCCTTTGGTTTTCCCTCGTGGCATCCATGACCACCTCTCGCTCGTATTCAATATATATAGCCTTTTTTTGACGGAGATACTGATAGCACATGAACAAGCTTTGCAGTGGGATGGAGGATTGTTTTTTGTTCCGTACACCGCTGGGCGATGACCTGGACCTGCGACACCTCAAAGGAACAGACTTATTTTCCACGGTACCATGTCGAGAGCCTAAAGAGTGTCCGACTAGTTTGATGCTGCGAGTTGGCTGTGTATCGACATGTGGTGTGGCCTGTAAGCGTGGCTGGCAGTGGCAGGATAGCATTGGGCACCTGAAAGGGCGGTCAAAGAATTAAACTACTCTGTTCTTATTCGTGCCAGATCATGGAGCAATCAGTCAGTAGCTCATATGACACAGCAAATGAAGCTCGTCGGTAAAAATAGCCTAGGAGAATTTCTGCCACGCAGGGCTCGAAGATCGCATCTTGGATTTCTCTCTAAAGGCATGCAGTATGCAGCATCAGGCATGACATTGAAATCTCGAAATAAGGATCCGCTTGGCCCCTGCTAGCAGCCTTCGACTGTCATCTATATTTACCTGTCCATGGCGTTCCGTCAACCAAGCATTGAAACTATGGTCGAAACGGACAAGACCTGTCTCCTAATATCTCAGCTCACTCAAGGGTTTCTAGAAGCAAATGGGCAACGCTGGTTGCTCACGTCAGCCACAGTCTGTTTCACCTGCTTCGGTTCCTGGGCCAGGCAATCGAGATGCTCTGTCCTGCTGGATGTCATTATATTCGTATGTTGGTCTGCTTGTAAGTTGTGGCTGTGGGATGTTGTTCTTCCCTTTCTGAGATGTCGGATTAGTCAGGCTGATGACTAATGTTTCGTCCTTGACAAATCTTTTGTTCCATCGCGATCGCTTTTATTTGTCGCTCTATCAGCTTAAACACTGGAAAGGGCCCAACTGCAGGAGGTAGTTATTATTATCTCCTAGTTGCTCGACACACAAAGATAGCAGTGTGTTGACTTGAGGCTTCTCCCGATCTCGGTGCGATGATTTGCGCGCCCATGTTTACTTTTTGTCTTGACTTGGCTTCGGTCCGGAGCCCGAGCAGGGTTTAGTTATCGATGGAGCTCTCTAATTACATGTAGTACAGGGTTGGCCCTCAGCTCGGATTCGATACAGTTGTGCGACTTAAGGACACTTGCTAGACTACTCGTCAATAGGGATAAAAGATTTACGGAGTATTTACTCCGTACTATTAGAAGCAATTCATCACATCTCTACCTCCTAAATAAGGAAAATAAGGAACATATAACTTAAGCTTATAACTGTACAGTCATAAACTATCAGGGGTATTGGGATTAGCGGGCGCTTTTGCGGCTGTTGACGCCGTATCTTGGGCGATGTTCATCCATATTCGGTCGTTTTTGCGCCTCTTAGATAGCTAACTTGAGAGAGTATCAAATATGCCGTTCAGTCAATTCTACACTGATGGAAGGCGGAATCATTGGTTGTCTTTGATCGAGAAGCGAAAGCGAAGCTTATATTGGGCCCGCGGGTGGGTAGCTTAACCAGATATAGTAAGAAGCTTTACTGCTTATAGTTAGCGGCAAATGGTGACCTTCTTGCTTATATAACTAAGTTTGAAATAAACTTCCAGCTTACTTAAGCATACTTAGCTAATACTTTCGAGACTCAACACAGCGCTTGAGACAACTTGGTTGTCTAGATGTCCAACTTCACAAAGACAGCTCACTAAGACAGCTCGTTTTTGTAACTAGTCACCTATCTAGTAACTAGTTAGCTAATAATCTGAAAAGGTGCTCCAGGAGAGTTTCTCCGGAACGCCGCGATGTCGCAGCATACCCCGTTTGGCTCACCCTCTTCAGGCTCCTCACGACGGACCTCAAGACATGTTATCACTGAAGGACAGAATATATCCAGCGACAGAGTTAGCCAAAGCAGATTCAGTATGGAAGATAGTGGCAGAAGAGGGTCGACAACTCCTATCCCAGACACTGGAGACCCAGCTAACCTGCCCATGTCCACCTCCATGGTGCTACCGGTGCTTCCCAAGTCAAGTCACAAGGCTTTGGAAGAAATAGAAGCGCTGGATAACAGAAAAGGTATTCCATTTAGCTGGTAGTTGCTTCTGCTTTTCATGCTTGTTGACGTTTTCCCCATGAGATAGTTACTGTTCGATTCCTGCCTATGCCATCTGCCCCCCTTCTTCAGAGCAAGGTGTTCAAAGTGAGCGCTTCTCAGAAGTTCGAGACCATCGTTCGCTTCTTGAGGAAGAAGCTAGGCTGCAAGGATACGGACTCCGTATTTTGTTATGTGAATAGTGTCTTTGCTCCAGGGTTGGATGAGGGAATCGGTGGCTTGTGGAGGGTATGTCTAGCTATTGTTATAATTTAATTACACGTTTAACCTGGCTGACTGATGTGTTGTTGTATAGTGCTTCAAGTCAGATGACCAGTTAATTATATCATATTCCATGACGCCGGCGTTCGGATGACAAGGTAGCGGGTGGTTCTAAAACGTAAATAGAGCAAGTCTGACTGCATGTATGTTGTATTTTCTCACTCTTTTTGCTATTACTTACATGAATGCTTTCTAAAGGTATGTGTATGCACGGTACGGCCTGGGCTCCGCATAACAAAGCAAGACATCAATCTCCAAGCGCCAGTATAGGATGGAAGATGTGCCGACGCAAAGTTTGCAGACGGAACAACATGCAACCAAGCCTCACTATTTCTCCCCAACTACCTTTTCAAATTCCGCAACGACTTCCTTTGTAGTCGGGTATGAGTATTCAGGCGACGGGTATTCCCTACTCTTGACTTCACTCTTATACTGTTCAATGGCCCTCAAGCTCTCGGACCACACGTCGCCGTACTTCTTGACGAATTTTGGTAAGAACCTTCCAGGAGGATAGTTGCCCAACATATCGATTTGCACCAGCACCTGACCTGAGCATCCGTTACCGGCACCAATACCAATAGTCGGGATACGCAACTTCTTCGTGATGATAGAAGCAATCTCAGCAGGTACTGCTTCAACCACCGTCATAAAAGCACCGGCCTCCTGGACGGCCAGAGCGTCCTCATAAACCTTCATTGCCGTGGCCATGGATTTTCCTTGTACCCTGAATCCTCCGAGAGCGTTTTGTCGCTGCGGAGTTAGTCCAACGTGCGCAACCACAGGGATTCCCGCCTTGACAATGCGCTTGATAATAGGCGTGATTTCCTGGCCTCCTTCGATCTTGATACCTTGGACACGACCCTCTTTCACGAGCCTGATAGCAGTCTGGACCGCCTGTTCCTCCGAAATCTCGTATGAACCCATCGGCATATCACCAACCTGCCATACCATCGACCAATTCCACAGTCAGGCACACACTTGCAAAAAAGGAAAAAAAGGAAATCAGGGATATGCGTATACATACCACAAAGGCCGACGCCGCTGCCCTGGAGACACTACGACAATGCACAATCATCTCCTCAAGCGTGACCTCGCTTGTGTCATTCATCCCTAGAGCCACCATTGCCAAACTATCCCCAATCAGGATCATCTCCATGCCCGCAGCCTCACATACATTAGCGCTAGGAAAATCGTGCGCCGTCATCATGGTAATTGGTTCCCCCTTTCGGTACAGGGCTTCCAATGACTTGATGGTAACCTTCTTCCGGGCATAGCTGGGAGCGGGCTCCATGGGAGAGTTTGAACTATATCGTTCTTGCTGTCTTGTAGCAGCTAGTTTCGCGGCAGGTGGGAAGGACTTGGACGTTGATGTTGTAGTTGCAGTGGGCCGGATGACGCCACTCAGTCGAATGCCAACAGGGGCTGGCCGGGTATATGCCAAGCGAGAGCAAAGTCGAGATGCCATGGTGTTTTGAGGTGGAAGTTGAGGGCAGGAAGAGGGCAGGAAGATATACCGTAACCACACAGACAAAAGAGAAGTAGGGTGTATATTCAATTATGATATCAGGGGGTATCTAGTTATGGTCTGGGATAACTAGTTATGTTGTCAAGGTATATGTGAACCAATTATGGAAAAATAAACTGTTGTGCGAAATTAAACGAGAGAAATTCATTCCATCAGATTAGGTCTTTTTCTTCCTTCATCTCCTCTTGTTTCAGGGAAAAAATCAGCTCTTTTATATTTGGTACGTGATAGTTTATGCAGCGTAGAGTAGAGAATATGGGAGTCGTTAGTTCGATTTTTTAGCTTGTTAGTTCCATCACTACCGCAAGAGAAGCATGTGATTGGACGGACGAGACCCCTGATCATGTGATATGACTTGGCAAGGGGAAAGGCAGACAAGCTTACAACTGGGAGCGCAGGGATAGGGGGCACCAAAAAGGATAGAATGAAGATGACGAGGAGTAAAGGATTCGACTTGTATGTGGTATATTAATTACTTCGCAATCAGAAGGTGTGTGCTTTGAGGATTTACGCTGAAGTCGCTTCGCTATAAATACAAATATTTTGAGGGCCATGCAAGTCAAGGCAAACACACAACGTTTAACTGCAGGTATGTTACTACCGATACCTATGATAATTCTGATTCAGGCCAAGAATGAATGCGTCTATCTCAAAGAAGTTTATAGAATTCGAAGCAAACTTGCGGTGTTTCCTGGTCGCAATGTGCTGCGATTTTGGTTAGCTTGAGAACAGCCAGAGTCTAAAATGGAATGGAAAAAAAAAGAAAAATTGAAAGTGAGCGTACATCCTCGTAATCCTCGAATTTCTCCCTGCAATTCTCACAGTAGCCTGGCTTAGGGTCACGCTTCTTGCTGCCGGCCGGCTGTTTTCGCAGCCCGCTTTGTTTCTTGGGAGCGACATCACTGGCGCCTCTGTTCCGTTCTGTCAATTGTATTGTGCCGTGGTCGTTCGCTTGAGCTTTGAGCTTAGCCGCGCGGGCAATTGGCACTCTAACAGACTGGGACTGGGGAGCGGCTGCTGCATCAGCCCTGTGACATGAGGAGATAGCGGTAGAGACCATTCCACTGCTCTTCTCCAGAACCTTGCGTTTGAGCTCGTGTACTTCCTTGCTGGTGCTAGCTCTGGCGCCCTGCGTAGCTGCTGTCGAGGATATCATCTGCGATCGGATGGCAGATGTGATGTTTGATGGCTGGATTCCGGAAGCGGCGATTTCACCTCCGAATTTAAAGGGTAAAGAAGAAGCCGAGATTGAGCCTTTAGAGACTGGCCTCGGCCCTACATTGGTAGGAGTAGTGGTGGCAGCAGTGTTCTCCATAGGTTCAATCGGCCTACCTGCAGAGTCCTCGAGTGCAGACTCGGTATCGTCTTGGTTAGCAGCGGTCATGTTAGGCTGTTGCTGTTGTTGTTGTTGATTGGTTGTTTTGCTTGGCCCTCTGGCAGGAGGCGCCATTGTTTTTGTTACTAGGGTGGTTTGGGTATTATTAGCTTTTGCCTGTTGTTGTTTTTGCCTATCCTTTTCTGTTTTCCTGCCGCCCGCAGTTTCAACAAAGGGGCATTTCCCTAGCTCGACACTGCGGAACTGTGGCCAGGCACCGTCCTGTTTTCTGTTAACTTTGGGATATTCTCGGATAACTACAGGGCGTGTTTCCCGGTTGTAATCCCAGATATACAGGTATGGTCCCTTGAACGGGACTAGGCCTTTGTTTAGCGTCAGTGAGTCGGAGTCGATAGGGGCATGGAGTTTCTCATGCTGAAGAGCCAGGGAGAGATCATCTTCGGTCTTGTTTTTTGCCGGCGCAGTACCATTGCGGGTAGGCTGGAGTATATGTGCCAGCTCCTTATCATTCATAGTAAATATGACACGCTGGAGTTTGTCCAGGGTCCATATCTTCATGTTCATTTGACGAGCACGGTGAAGAAGATCCCCACTGCCGCCACCCATGCCTTTCTTATTTTCCGGTTCGATCATACTGAAACCTGTTCTTGATCGTGTCTTTCCTAGTTGAGCATCAATGCCCTTCTCCAACATCGATGGGTTTACAGTCTGGACCGAGCCCGACATGTTATTTTCGGCAGACGCTGACTGAGCCGCTTCCGTATGCTTTTCAGATTCAACTTCAGGAGGGATGGAGCGGGACGTGACGACATGGGTAACTACCCGGGAAAAGAACTTTTCCTCGGTCTAAACAAATAGGTTAGTAAATGGAAGGTTGAACAGGAGAAGTTTTTAGCAACTTACAGCGCCGAGGGACATGATCTGCCTGACATACTTCTTCCTGACCTCTTCAGGAATGCTCTCAAAGTAAAAGACATAAGAAGGGAAGACCTTTCGATAGTGTCTCTGCCACTGGCGAACACTCTCTACCGACTCCGGACAATATTTGATGTTCCTGCTCACTTTAAGCGCATTCTGCTGCTGTTTCGGCTTATCTCTCACTGCAGCCAGCTTCTTCTCGAAGGCCGTGGGTTGAGTATTGGTTCTGCGGGTGAATATCTTCGACTCTCCCGCCTGGGGCTGGTGTTGGTTCAAAGACCGCTGAGAGAATCGCGCGTCCACATTGTCGGCAGTATCGAGCACCTGTTTCTTTAACGGCGGAGGAGCCGCGGCAGAATCCCATGGTAGTCCCGGTGGGCGAGTGCGCTTCATGGTAGCAGTCGTGGCCGTGGAGACGGCTCGGTGAGGGGAGTTCGTAGCATTGGGGACGTTTGCCAGGGGCGCTCTTCGGGTAGTCATTGCATTCAACGCGTGTGGCGATGGTACGAATAAAGTGGCCATGAATAACAATACAGGTCAGAGGGGCGAGAAGTACCGGGAATTAGAGTGAATGTTGAAGACTTGTAGTTGGTATTCTCTCTGTCTGGTGAAGCTGGAGAAAGAGCCTCAGGACGACACGCGATGGAGACACGAGTAAAATGACTGAAAGAAGGACGTAACAAAGGACAATAACACACAGGGACAAAGGAGAGAACGAAAGAGGAGGCAGAGGACGCTCTCTTGAGCCCGTCAGGAGGACGCAGTCATCGCTGTGCCTTGAGACGACGATGCTGGCTGTGGTGGTTGGCGATGTCGACGGCGTTCGTCTTCGTCTTCCTCGTCTTGTTTTGCTCTAAACAAAGATCGGGTCACGTTTTTCTTGCTGAGTCAGCAGCCGTCCCTCACGAACTTTACTCCAGGTACGTACCCTAAGCCCTAGTCAAGAGACACTCAACGCAGACAGAAGGAGAGGATTATCCCGGAGATGGCTGTGACGGTAGTAATTGTAGAAAAGTTTGGACTACTCAGCGCAATTCTAGTGCATGGCTGGGTTCTTTTCGCTGCGTATCAAGGTACATCACCGGCTAGCTATATATATCACTAGAGCCCTGCAACCACAGATCCGAGGTACCAACGGGTACTTGTTAGCCTGACGCAAAGTATGTATGAAACGGCTAGCGATACACCAGGCCCTTTCAAACCAATAAACGTATCATGAGTTCTTGCTAGCCACTTGGTTGCCGCCGCCGCCGCCACTCTTCTCCCGCTCTGCACATCGGTGCAAGCAGGTAGACTACTAGCAGGGGGATCGGTGAGCGCACTGCCAAGGAAGCTGTCTAAGCTTACAGTAATCTTGAGGCCCACTGCCCACTTAGACAAGACCAGTGACGCAGTGGTTAGCGTGCCGTTCTTATATCGTTTCCTCGAAGTGATATGACTAACTCCATCTTGTTATGCGGAGGTCGTGGGTTCAAATCCCGCCTGGTCTATTTTATTTTATTTTTTTTTTCTTCCTCATTCTTTTACGAAGTTGAATATATGGTAGTTATTCTTAATGGAGAGATAATTATCTATCTGTTTTATTCGCGATTGAGTGGCTGTTCCCGGTGGTGAGGTGTGTATATATAGATACAGGTATAGACATCATGCAAATAATACAAGTAGAAGAAACATGCCAGTATACTCTTACACTCTATTCTATCTCAGGGCCTCGATGTCGTCAATCTATAAAGCAGAAACTGTTAGTTGATGCAACCATATCTGACAGTCATAGTAAGTCTTACCTCTTTGACTCCTTCAGGGGACAGGACGATGGGGTTGTCGTCTCCCACACATATGCTATCCTCTATCCTGATGCCGATTCCACGGAACTTCTTGGGCCAGCGCTCGTCATTTGGTACGTAGACGCCCCTGTGACTCCCCGTTAGCACTCATTTATCAATCTATTTTGTTTCGGTATGAGAAAATCGTACGGTTCAATGGTGATACACTGGCCCTTCCGCAGCATTTCTTGCCGCGAGTAGCCACCGCAGTCGTGCACGCTGAGACCAATATGATGGCCTACATGATGAGGGAAAAGCGTTCGCATGGCCTGCAGCTACATGTTAGCGGTCGATCAAGTACTGAGCGGGAGAGAACGTCATACATTGCCAGAGGTATTGAAACCGATAGAGTCGAGCTGTTCTCGAAGACTTCGCTCAGCTATATCGTGGATCTTGTCTAGTGATAAGCTGGCTGATTCGCGGCACAGAGATATGCATGACCGCTGCACATTCAAAACGGCAGTGTATAGCTCTCTTTGAGCGGGAGTGAACTTGCCGTTTACCGGCCATACTCTCGTCACATCTGAGATGTATCCTGCGTATTGCTGCATGGCGTTAGAACAGACTCATAAACATATTAGATAAAGTACAATATACTCACCGCACCACCATCAACCAGAACCAACTCCCCATCTCTACGCTCAAAAGTCAGCATGTCTCACACCAAGCAGCCAAGGCACGTACCGTAAAACATTATCATTCCGAACATAATGTATACTCAACGCATTCGATCCACCAGCAACAACAGGCACAAACGCCGTTCCATCGCCGCCCTGACGACGAAACTGGTACTCCAAAAAGGCATCAAGTTCACTCTCAGTGCCAAAACCATGGCGCATAGATTCGGTAAATGCTCGACCAGTCACACGTCCTGCATGTCTCATATTCGCGATTTCAGCATCACTCTTAAATACGCGGAGTTCGTTAATTATTGGAGACAACGGCCTGATCTTTTCCATGGCTTCTTCTCTTGCGTCACTAGCTAAACTCGCGGAGTCAGAGAAACTGGATATGAAGCGGGAAAAAGCCGAGCGGCCTCGTCCAGCGCTGATGTCAGTGTATATCTCTGATGCGCTAGACAGGATGTCCGGTAGGTAGTCTTTTAGATGGTCGATGTCGCCAGACTAGACGAAGGTCAGCCAGCCCATGTTACTAGTCGTGTGTCAGACGGGATGTATACCTCATCGGCGTTGAATACATCCATGGCGGCCTGTGTTCCTGACCTTGCTCCCTCCCATAGCTCTGCTTGCGTGTCTTTTTCCCGAACGTAGAGGTAGAAAGTATGCTCGCCCGGTTGGCCGGTATTTGCTACCCTCGCAAACATCAGTACCCAAATGGCCTGCTAATCGATCTATCGTCTTCCATCCCGAACATACCTATAATAGCTAGAGCTCCAGGCTCATTGAATCCTAAACCACCACCGTCAACATTTACTTGTCAAAAACGGTGTTCCAGCAGACTTCCGCACCAGTCAAATAAAAGAAATCGGTATCTTGATGATATTTGTAAAACACATTCTTCGACTTATACTTCAAGTCTGCAGCGCGAACGATAGCGACGGCATTCTTGGGTAGCTTGGAGGCAAGCTTCGAGCGGCGGTGGTCATATTCGAGTGCCGTGATGCCTGGGGTTACTATATATTTGCCAACCAGAAGTAAGTATTTGCTAACAAAATCTCACGGGATGGTGATTCTCAGCTAAACCGAGGCGCAACTGACGTTCTCCAGCTTTTAATAGGTGAGGGTGCGTTTCGTGCAATGGTTGGCCAAACTGGAGCTCTGCGGCGGAGACGGAGCTGTATCTTCGTCGTAGTGTAGCAGCGACAACGCTGCTTTGGGGGACTCTAGCCTGTAATGAGGGGATATTTCGAGAACACTGTCTCCATAACCGGGTTCCCGTCGACATAATGGGCCTAAGATGTCTGCTGGCCGTGTGCTGGAAGAAGTTGGTTGCTTGACAGCTTCCAAGTCAAGGAATCAGATAAAAAAGAAAGATAGCAATTGCTTTTTAAAGCAAATAAAGCTTTGAGCTTCATGTCATAGCACTTCTATTGGCCAGTTCTAAGTTTAGATAACGTGACGGGTCATAAAGATAGATGTTTATTCTATTATGTAATCGAGCTTTTCTCATCCACACACGCAAGTTCAAATTGTGTGGTCATGACCAAGATAACAAGTATCAATTCTAGAAATACAGCAGAGGTTCGCGGTTTTAGCCTCACGATGGGCAATATGGAAGGCCGTTGTGCAGCTGTCAATCTATAAGTGATCTATTATTCAAATAGCCAGTGAGTCACCTTGTCATACGGCTAACGGAGATCGGTATGCAAGGGTTTTTTGGTCTAGTTATATATAGGGAAACTTATTTTAATACAATTACTCGCCTCATTGTCCCTTCATTTCTTCCTCTCATCATATTCTCCTTCTTTTTCTCAATTAGAGATCCAGGAACATAACGATGGCGGCTTCCATACATGCCCATCCTAATCCTGCTCGCACCCTAGTCCCTCGCCTGCAGCGCCATCTACCACACTCCGGACCAGTGCTGCGAATCATTCAATCCTTTGGCGTCTTCCCACGTTCTGCAGAAGCGTGTGTCCTAGCTACATTTCCCCCAGAATCAGGATCAAGTTGGGGTTTAGGATCAGGATCAGGCGCCGCAGAGAATAAGAGACAGCCGGAGGAACCATGGGTGGTAGCATACGTAGATGTATTCCGCTACCCTGAGACGCAAATGTGGGTGTATTCAAGCCTAGAGGCAGATGGACGTAACGAGATGATTGGAGACACAATGAAGACCACCCTAACGGCCGATGAAGAGACGCTGAAGCAGGCTCGAGAGCAGCTCAGGAATCTACTTGCATATGTTCGCTCAAAATTGCTGCCGTCACTCTTGTCCACCCCAGGAGCCCTTGAGAGAAACATCCCGGGCACCAAGCCAAACGGAGTTAAGAAGCTACCTGCCGTTCCTCCGACTGGTCTACTGATGGGAACAATAAACGACGGCCTGGCTGAGCTGCTCGGCCAATTGGGACCCAGGGAACAGGACAGTTCAGGCCAGAAGCCTTTCTTTCACATCAACCGTGTCGATTTGTGCGTGAAATACATGTTTGACCGAACCCATTATGACGCTGGCGACAACGGACCACCGCAGGGATACCGATTCCATGACAACAAGGGCCGCCGTGGGATCCAAGATCATCATTTTGGACTGGTCCTAAGTCGCACGCACATCCAACGCACTCGGGCTTCGTTCCCTGCTAGCGTCGCTATCTACCATGACGACATAGAGGCTGATGTAGCTGCGAAAGGCCAGAATGAAACCCCCGTTGCCCATGTAAACGGGAACGGGGTAGACAAAGTCGAAGAAATGCCTATTGGCTGGGCTTTCCTAACGTATGACGGGAGCATGATCGTTCTACATGTTGAGCCGGAGCACCGTGGACGAGGCCTCGCAGCCCTGCTCTCCAAGGAGATCATGCGTCGGGGCATGGGCAATGAGGCTATCCATGCACTCCAGCTGGAAGACGATATCGATGGGAGGGAGAAAGGCTGGGTGTTTGCGGATGTTAATAAGGAGAACAAGGCCAGCCAGCGGGTGATGCAGAAGCTTGGAGGAGAGATCGGTTGGGCGATGAGGTGGATTGTGGGGGAGATATGCGCAGGAAAGGACTGTTGGAACTGTAATAAGGGCCTCTGATGAATAACGGATTTAAGAGGTTCGTAAATAGATACATAGATTTTTCCCCTCCTATATGCCAAAAGCAGCTAAGGTAACTACGAAATCCGTGTAACGAGAGGAGTAAACGCGCAGGCGATCCCAATACTCGACAGAAGATGCTGGCGGCCTATGAACTCCGTTTACAGGAGCCGATATACCCTTAAATGACGCCAGCATGCATGTGTGCATTACTTATGCATGGTTCCCTCTCGGACTCGAAGGAACATACCGAAATCCTTTTGACAATTATAAATCAAAACGTAGATATATAAAGGCGACAATATATGGTAACAACAGCTTCGAACCATCGTTCCATCAGCAATAACAAGTATTGTTAGCTATATACTATAATACTATCTATCAACGATACATTTGGACCCTGCGACTAAAACATACAATGTCCACCCCAAAGACCTCCAAAGCCTACAGGCGCAGCAAGGGCAGTGACCTCAAAACCCTTGAGCCAATCACAGAAAAGATCCCTTCTTCCCTTAAGCCCCAGGAAGTCCTAATTCGCATCCACGCTGTATCACTGAACTATAGAGATGTAGCCATGCTGCACGGCAAATATCCCATCAAGTTTCTCGATAGAGGTATCCCCGCTTCGGACTGTGCGGCGGAGGTTATAGCGGTTGGGTCAGATGTTAAGGACTTTGAGATTGGAGACCATGTTGCACCTATCTTTGATGTGAAAAATATTCACGACAACGAGGAAGATAAAGCTGCGTTAGGAGGACATATTGATGGAGTGTTGCGCCAATATGCAGTTTTCGACAGAAATGTGTTATTTCACTTGCCGAAGTACTTATCTTGGGAGGAGGTAAGTAACGCATTCACTACCAAAGTAGTCAACGGGTATACTAACATGCCAACTTTACATAGGCAGCATGTATCACCTGTGCAGGTACTACGGCATGGAGAGCGTTATCAATGCCTCGCTCCACAGGCACTGCCCTGCTTCAAGGTAAAGCTTCCACCAACTTCAACCACATTGAAGAGCGGCATTTTTTCTAACTTCCCTCCCAGGCACTGGAGGAGTAAGCATGTTCGGTCTCCTCATCTGTCTTGCGGCCGGAATCCACCCAATCATCACTTCTTCATCTGATGAGAAGTTAGACCGAGTGCGAGCCCTTGGAAAGCCAGGAGAAGTTGACACTATCAACTATCGAATCCACCCTGATTGGGAGAATGAAGTGCTTCGCCTCACCAACGGTCGTGGAGTTGATTTTGTCATTGAGACCGTGGGACCTAGGACCATATCACAGAGCATTACATCTCTGGCCCGCAGAGGATCCATTACCGTGGTGGGATTCTTGGGAGGATTCGATGTCAAGAGCTTTCCACATACAATCACGCCTCTCTTGACCAAAACTGCAGCCATAAGGTAGCCATCCTTTTAGAATAATAACTTTTCCAAGGTTTAAACACTGCTAACGATATATACGTGTTTTAGAGGGGGCGCCGTAGGTTCCAAAACAGACCACCAGACCCTGTCTGATTTCTTATCCGAGAAGAAAATCGATTTAAAGCCCATTCTGGATGACACGGTCTTTACTTTTGATGATTCGCAAGCCGCTTTTGACTACCTATATGATGCCAAACATATGGGCAAAGTGGTCATCAGAATATAAGGCATTTCTGTCAAAATGGAGGTCAAATCTTCAGTATAATTGGGTATTGTATGGGGTATCTAGGTATATATTGATTGTTCATATATTTACCGTGTGTTTATAGAAGTTTGCTGCTGTAGCTATAATGTACTCTGTACTCCTTATTGATATTCCGATACATGCAGATATAAAGGTAAGAAGCAAACGGAAGTACCCGCAGAGGCTGACTATTAGTAAACAAAAGAAAGTCTCGGGAAGCTCCCGAGGTCAAGACAACGTCACGTGACATGAGCTCCAAGGCACAACGGAGCAGCAAACGAATGCCTCGACGTCTAACTGAGCACTGGAAAAGCAGATAAATAGGCGTAGGAACGATGAATGATGATGGCTATCCAGACAGCGGACTATCCTACGGCTATTTATCTATGCTGGCTGATCACCGATCGGCCGTATGGTGCCTACGCGAAATGATGGAACCTTGCAGGGGGTGGCGGCGTCGCATCATCATATATCCGACACGCTGGCCAAACGCCGGCTTCAACAGAAAGCCTGTTGGCATTTCCCATTAGTCATCAATTCCTATTGGTCTTCAGAGCCGATCTCGGATAACCCTGTCTAAATGAGTTAGCGTAGCCGGAGGAATTTTGTCAATCAAAAACTGCTGATTGGCTGCATTCTACTTAAATACGGAGATAATTAAGCCGCGGAAAGACGATAAGACGATAAGGCTCGGCCCAAATGCAAAAACCGGGCGATGAGATGGCCGAGAGTTCAGGATGGACTGGGAAAAAGGGACCAAGAACGGTTCTTCAGACAGAGTAAGGTATGGTTTACGGTGTACAAGGCGGCATGGCGGGGCACGGCTAAAGGATTATTCGGGGATGCATTAGTATGAAGAGACGATTTAACCGTGCCGATGAATCATCGCCCTTTTGGCGACGCCCTTCCTTCAACACGTTCAGACATATCTATATAAACGCTTCTCCTAGTCATCGAAGGAGCAAAAGACTAACTTATATTTGTTAATTTCTGTCGTTCACTACCCCAGTATATAGAACCTGTCAGAGTCATATCAAAATGGGCAAGACACTTGTGTATCCCAAGGGGATTAGCAACACGGCTAACCGTTACGCTAAGCGAGGTAAACTCTCATCTGACAGTTGGATAAAAAATGACACGCTGATGTCTGTGTACAGTGACCTACGATCTCGGGCCTATTCATTCCATCATCAATGCGGCAACTCACCTTGATGTCGCTTTCGTGCCTGGCGGCGACGATCCCTTTCCTACAATCATCCCTATGATCGGACAAATGGGATCCTACGAGTTCCCTTCCAATGGTATCGACGAGCCTCTGGACTGTTATATACACGGATATGTCAGTGCACGCATGATGAACATGGCACGGGCGGCAGGGGATAAAGGCCTCCCTCTCTGCATCTCAGCGACTCACGTAGATGGTCTTGTTCTATCCCTCTCTCCTTTCTCGCACAGCTACAATTACCGCTCTGTAGTTCTGCATGGTTATGGTGTGCCGGTCACGGATGAGGATGAGAAGAACTATGCCATGAAGCTGATCACTGACGGCGTCGTGGCTAAACGATGGGACAATTCACGGACTCCCCCAACGGCAGGCGAGTTCCAGAGCACGACTATCTTGCGTGTAAAGATTGTTGCTGGCAGCGGCAAGGTGCGTGATGGTGAAGTGTCAGATGAGAAGCAGGATATCGATAGCATGGAGGTGAAAGAGAAGGTTTGGTCTGGTATCGTGCCTGTCTGGCAGACCTTTGGCGAGCCTGTCCCTAGCTCGACGAATATGATGAAAGAGGTGCCAGCGTATCTAAAAGAATACGTTTCCAAGGTAACAGAGGAGAACAAGAAGCACGCATATGCTGCAATGAAGCTTCCTGCTCCTTAAACCACGAACATGTTTTACTCGAATTTTGACATTTAATGGACATCCTCGGTAGCTGCAACTATTTTTCATCACTTATCAGCTGAAAGCCACTTTTAAGAGCTGGCATAATGATGCATCAGACCAATAGTAACACTTGTTTTAAAAGTTGGGTTAGCGGTGGCAATAACTCATGGATATACGTGGAGTTAACAGTCCCAAATGGTAACAGTCCCTCCCAGACCGTTACCATTTTTTCTGTTTAGAAATGCCACACATAATATTATTTCCACCACAACCAACATTATAAAATAATCCGTAAAAGTCTCGGGTTAATCCGTTTAAAAGGCCATATATAGAGGTAGAGGTGGTTCTTACTAGCTAAATGAGCCTTTTTGTCGCAAATTCGCTAGATATCTACTGTATCGGGCCCGTATAACTTGAACCTGGCAGTGGAAGTAGCAGTACACGCGCTGTCGTCGGTTGGACCGTTACCACGCCACGCCTGACGATCCGTACCGTTACTTCCACTCACCGCCCGCCAACGTCCAAGCTTGCGGCTCTGCATGCAAGTGGGGCCTTCCCGCTGGAGGAAAAAGAAGCATAAATTCACACCGTCTTGCTCCTTCCTTCTTTTTCTTCTTTCCGAGTGCGGAACGGCCTAACCTCCGGTAACCTCCAGATCCCCTTCGTCCGGCACCTGTTTTAGTCGCTTCGCCATGGCTTCAGGTATTCCCGAGGCTGACCTGCTCAGCTTCCGTGAACATCTCAAGAAATCAAAGCGTATCCTGGCCCTAGTTGGTGCCGGCCTCTCTGCAGCGTCTGGCCTGCCTACCTTCCGTGGGGTCGGCGGATTGTGGCGCTCTCACCGGGCGCCAGACCTGGCAACTCCAGAGGCATTTGGTGTTGACCCAGGGCTCGTGTGGCAGTTCTACAGCTACAGACGGCATATGTCCCTGGTGGCTCATCCCAATAGAGGACACTATGCCCTCGCAGCGTTGGCCAGGAAAATCCCCCAGTTCTGGACTCTGACTCAGAATGTCGATGGTACGCTGGTTATATTAACGTTGGCTTGTGCCTTGTTTCCGCCATAGAACTATGCTAACGCTGATGTAGGTCTATCGGAACGAGCTGATCACCCTGAATCTCAGCTCCACCGTCTTCACGGCTCTTTGTTTACCGTGAAGTGCGCTTCAGAGTACTGCACCTACTCTCGAGACAACGATTTCCAAGACCCGCTTGTCCCCTGTCTTGCAATCCCTAAGGCAGGTCCGCAGCTGAACCCATCTACAGATGATAAAACTGGTGAACAGGCTGCCAAAGCCATCCATGCTGCTCTGGATGAGAAAATCTTCTCTTCTGGAGGTGAAGATTTGGACATTTCAGATGCAAATGTTCCTATCCCTAGTCTCACAGAAGACGATCTCCCGCATTGCCCGAAATGCTCAACCGGGCTTCTACGGCCTGGGGTAGTCTGGTTCGGCGAGGAGCTTCCTAATGATACACTGGACAGTATAGATATTTTCCTCGATGAGGGCCCGGTTGATCTAGTCCTGGTCATCGGTACAAGTGCCCAGGTATTCCCAGCCGCGTTATATATTGAAGAAGGCCGAGATAGAGGAGCTCGTGTTGCTGTGATTAATATGGATGCCACTCACCTCCCCAAGGGGGGCCTGGAGCCAACTGACTGGCTCTTCCAAGGTGATTCAAGCGTCATACTTCCAGAGATATTGAAAGATGTGATCGGTGAAATTTGAGGGCATAAAACATGGGAAAGGAACCTGACAAAAACACGGATCGCATATGAAGAGAACACTCCTTCATTTTTCCACTGGTGTCAGCTACCTCCTCTGTAGCTGAGTATAATAATTTAAATTCTCCATTAAACCATTCGTCCTCCAACAGCTAGCTGTATTGCTGTTGGTCTATCGCGGGGGTCCAGTTTCATTATCCTACAAAGAAATCCCCGAATCTCATTGGAGAGCTCAGTCTCATCCTCCGCTTGAGCAAATGGCTTACGTCGCTCACTGCTCAAGTTCTCAACGTAGTAAATTAGCTGCGTTGCCATGGTTGCTCTCTCTTCATCCGCAATCTCTGTAAATTCCTCCGGAAGTGGCCCAAAGCATTGATTCGTTTGATCATGATATACGCTGGGTATTTGTCGTCTCCCAGGTAAATATTCTCAGATGTGCCAGCCCTTTTCCCATACCAAGCTGATTAGCTATAAACTTGTCAGCTCATATATATAACATTGCACAACTTGTAAGGGGACTAGACCTACTGTGGCCTCAAAGGGTCAGATATCCGTGGGCGGATCCCAGCGCAAATTCAGCATGGTCTCTGGGCTTCGAAACTGTCCAGCGCCAATAATATGTCCATCCTCACTGGGTTGACGTTTCGGTCGACATAACATCTGTCACCAAAGTCACTCAGGGCTATCTCACTATCTCTCTTTGGGCGGTCGCTGTAGTTTATAAATATATTATTGGGCTTGAAATCTACACTTATAACCCGCGTATATTAGTTACTATTGAATTACTCGGAGGTAGTGTGCATTGGAAGAATACCTTAAGAATATGAACCATGAATATCCTCCCATATCACTCAATCTCTCGCTTCCAACGGGGCCAATTAGTTACACCGTGCTAACATCTTTCTTATTCGACCATAGCCAATCATCAATAACCTTTACCATTCTGCTGCTGCTCCTATTAGCCAAGGACCTTTTTCCCTTTTCATTACCAGAGAACTAACCAGTTTCATATTTAATAATCTGTCTCTGAGTCCCCTGCCTGCTCAGGAGCATTGATTTTCAGGTCAACAAGTAGAAGAGCCCCCCATCGTAGGCGACACGTAGAGCCTCGGCAACAACAAATGCTATCCAGAACTTGTCAGTGTCAGCAAGAAAGCCAGTAAGACTGGGTCTTATAGTAGAACCCAACGTCCTAAGCATAGCCGTGATACCCATGACCGCCGTGCGTTCTTCTGGCTTTACCACAGCCGCAATGAACGCAACTCTTGGTCCCTGGTCCATATTATTCAGCCCAGTGCGAATGAATAGTAAAACTATGGTTAAACCCACACTCTGGGGTACCGGAAGCAGCAGAACGGCGAGAGAAGACGGAAGATGAGTGAACACCATGGTATTGATAAGCCATAGACGTCGAGCAAGAGGTCCGGCGAAGGCGGTAGATATGGCCATGAGTAGGAAACAGATTGACATAATGTCTCCCAGATACGACTTAGTGAGACCAAACTTACGCATGAGATAGTAGTATGTGAGTGCGTAGGACACCATTCCGTCAGCTAGCGAGTCTATTGTGAGAAGTACCCGGAGTTTTATGACCACACAGAGAGTCTCCTGTGATAGCTCCGCAATCTTGCTTTTGAGCCATAGCCTGCCAACCAAGACTGTGGTTTTGATGGTTGCTGGAGGTTCGCCGAAGGTGTTTGAACAGGGTCACCGTCGTTTTGCTCATGGGTATCCTCTCTTGCTATTCCAGAGATAAGTAGTGGATCAGTCTCCCGCGGCCTTTCGGTATTAGACTTTACTTGCACTTCAGTAGATTCACACTTCCTGCTCATCAGGCATGCAAATATCATGGAGAGCACACCCATTGCAACATATATCCAAAACATAGCATGATACACATCCGTAATATCCTGCCTTGAGCCTCGAAGTCTTTTCAAGAAACTGGCTATATGACCAGCAGCTTCGATCCCCAGGGCAGAACCCAGCGTTGAAGTCGTAACATACCAGGACAGTACATCAGTTCGCGTAGCTGGCATTGTGAGATGGGATATCGTAGACTCTTCAACAGAGCGAAAAGGGCCAAAATCACCGCCAGTAGCACTTATAACACCAACAACAGCACCCATAAGCAGGATTTAGTAATTCTCGAAGAACACGAACACTGTGCCAGACAGTGCCATTAACCCCCGAGCAAGAGGATCCGCCGACGCCCAACACGGTCAGCCACCAGGGCTGCAAGAAGAGAGAGGATAACGTCCCCGACCGACGTCATCGTCATAAAGAATCCAATCCAATAGTCTGAGAAATGCAGAGACGACATAAATGGGGCGAGGATCAGAGACATAGCCCCAAATGCAAACATCCGGCATGTTCTTGCCAGCATCACGAACCAGGTATCAGGCCCCGTCTGGTAGACGGAGTCAAGGCCAAACTCCCTATACAGCCATTGTATAGGCTTGAAAGATAACATCCTGCGGTTCTCCGTCTTTATAACAATAGAACGACGGAGGTTGTGAGAGATGGAATTTCTTAAATATCGCGGACGTCAATATTATACGACAATCGGCTAGTTAACAAGTAACCACGGATTAAAGTGCTCTGTCGGAGAATCCCCGAGAGACATCAATGATGGAACATCTAGGGAGCGACTCGAAAATATCTACGAGTAGTTAGAGGACAGAAACACGTACTTTGGTGGGCTCACTAAATTTGCTAGTGATATATTCTATGGTTGGTTGTAGTGTTTCTTTATCCCCATTTCAGGTTTAACCGGCGAGTAACTAGCACAAGGATGGAAATAATAGTATAATGATTACTGCTAACTAGAAGAGAGTATATGCAGATACTTAACCTATGCTATCAAACCCCAGGGATGCATTCAACAGATTCAAATGAGCCATTAAAAATATATGTATACCAAGCTTACACACGACACTTCCAGTTGGTCCCAGTGTGAGCGGACCTTGCCCCAATCAATATCAGCGATCCTAGAACGAACGATGTACCGCCGAAGAATTGGACATAAAGATAATCGCCGTTTCTCTTTTCTATAAGCATCCCCGCTAAAGGTGGCCCTGTCAGTGTTGCAAAGGAGACAATAGTAAATACCATGCCTGTTCGGGTGCCCATCTTGCTAAGGTCGACTGTCAAGGAGGAGCAAGAGGCTATAAAAAGGCCCTGACATGCAGCGGCGAAGAGACCATACATGACTGAAAATACTACGAGACCAGACAGGTCACGTACTGCAGACCATGCATAAAGGGAAATGCCCGCTGCCAGCGACATTGGTATATACATGCTAAGGAGTCCCGTATACCGGTCAGCGACGAAAGCAAGAATAGCACGACCGGGGATGCCAACGGCATTCGTAATAAGTAGGATGGTTAGGGAGGTAGAGGAAGAAATTCCAATGATATCGTGACTGAAAGTGCTGATCTGGTAGGTCAGGGGTTAGCAAGAATTTGGAACTTGGTTTCCTGAGGGAACAACCTACATAAGAATAGGCTAAATAGACAGCCCACAGGATAAGAAAGCTGCCAATGGAGAATAGCAGGTATGGTAATTCTCGGAAAGCCGACCACTCGACTATGGGGCCACTTTTCCTTGGGCAACTCTTCCACGCATGAGACATATGACGATAGATGCATTAATGAGCATGATGAAAGCCATCACTCTAACAGTCCACGCGAACCCTACTTTGGGTAGAAGCTGTTGGGCAACAAGAGGAAAAACAATTCCACCAGTGGCACCTCCACCAGATGTTATAGCCATGGCCATGGCCCTTCTTTTGGAAAAGTAGGTCGAGACTAGCGATACAGTTGGGGTATATATCAACCCATTTCCTATACCCTGACACACACCCTGTGCAAGGAATATCTGCCAGTATTCTTGAGCCACCGAGGTCATGAATACTTCTAGTATCTGCAGAAACAGGCCGGCCACGAGAATTGTTCGGTAATACCCAGCGTCGATTGCACGGCCAGAAAAGGTCCCAATCATGAATATAAGGAAGATCTGGATGGAGCCTATCCAGGCTATGTCTGCTCGAGATCGCCCCAGATATCCCTTGTAGTAGGCCTGAAATATACCAAAGGAGTTTGCGAACCCCCGTGTGTTGAATACGACTAGATGGGCCATGGTGGCCTGAGTCCATGCTATCAGACCTCCATCGGGAGCCTTGTCTAGGGAGTTTGACGGTATGGCTTCAGCTTTGTGGACGTCATCGACAGAGATATCTCTGGAATGGCTGCCATATGGGTTTTCCGCAAGAGTTGTAGTACTGCTTGCATTGGTACTGGGAAGTTCCTGGTGGTTGGTATGCATCGAGAAAGGTGTATAGAAAGGGCTGGTACTTGATATTAGGTATTGAAAACACAGGGAATGGCAGCAGACAAGCTTGGTAGCGTTTCCATCCTTTCAAAGACGCGGATAGCTCCTGGAGCCCTCTATATAAGCTCAACTAGCAAAAGCGTACCATCTATCCGGGTTGGATGGCAGTGAGATCCTCCCGTGAGGCATTTGTCCATATGCACCGGCAGGAGACCAGCAACCCAAAGCAGCGGGGCGAAAACGTAGCCACATAGACAAGTCAATGGTTATCAACAGTATGATTGTGCAAGAATATATTGGTCCGGACCGTCTATTCGTCGGTTGGTTTCGACTTTTCCTCCAGGAATCTGACAGTCAGGTAAGGAAGTAGTTAATCTTGGGAGGATTAGGTAGGATTAAAAGGTCAGCGGCCCAGCATTGAGATCTCGTCATGCGTATATTAAAGAGCAGGGCGGCTAGTAGCACTACTGCACTCGGCTCGACAAACTGCTTCGTATCCTCTAGAGCCAGTCGCATGGCCGTCCGGATCTCACCGTCAGCTACTGGGAATACATCGTGAACAAGCGTCTTGCTTCGAAAGATATCCCAGTTCGATTTGGCCACGAGACACAACGAAGACCATCGGCAATCGTCGACTTGTCGGGACATAAGGTATCGATGCGGCGACCCCTTTGGCAGCCCTGAAAGAGCGAGGGTCCTCCCTCAAGCGGTTCTGCCCCGAAGACTTCGATGCGGGAGCTTGATATACCAGGGCTGTACCAGCCAACAAGGCACCTCCAGCAATGGGAACGATGACAGCATTTAGTGGTTTCTCGCCTAGGCATGCAATCTGCTGTTGGAACTCGAGCATGGCAGTGCCCTGGCCCGGGACAACATGATAGTGACCAGACGTTGGAACTAAGGTCAACCCAGCCTTCCGCTGCAGCTCTTCTGCCCGTACCGCACAAGCCTCCACCGTTAAATAGCAGGCCGATACAGTAGCGCACAGTAGCGCCCAGATTTTCTATCACAGAGATTTTGCCCTGGTCTGCAGACTTCGACATAATGACAGTCAGGGGTATGGGGAAATCTCGCTCCTCCGACGCATACGCCGCCGCTTGGGCCAGCGCAATGCCATGATTGCCTTGCATATAACCGTTAGCCAAATTTAGACCATATCATACTATATTCTGAGAGGAGAAAGCATAGAGATAGTATCTACCAGTGCTGTAAGTGACCAAGCCGTTTTGGAGTGCCTGATCGTTCTGCCTTGCGAGAAATGGGAGGCGCCGCGAACTTTGAACGTGCCGGTCTTTTGCAACTTCTCACACTTGAAAAATACATTGACTTTTGGGACGCCGGTAACTCCAATGTTGTCTTTGCAGAATATGGCGCTACTGATGGTATGTGATAGTGTTGCTGATTTGTAGACTGGAATTTCCCATATCTTGGGTTTGATCAAAGCGTACGCTTCTTTGACAGCAGCCAAGTTTAATGCCGTGAGTTGAGTAGCCATTGTATTTGGAATCAAAGCTCCGTGGTAGTGGGTATATTATGAGCACATTGACAATGCTCTATCAAGGCGATATGAGCTCAGCATTGGTGAGAGTTGGATGAGAAGTCAAAGCTCCTTAAACAGATGTCGTAGGAACCCACATTGAAAGGATGAATCCCCAAGTAAGAAGCACTTCATATTGATTAACCCGGTATTTGCCCTTTGTACAGCTCTGTGTGGACCCCGTCATAGAATACAGGGGGCTGTGAGGTGACCTGCGAGTACTGTACATCCAACAACTCCATCCAACCACCCGAGTAGGTACATACGACGGGAAATTATATCGACAGCCAATAGCAATGCCATATGCTAATTTTTCAATGGTCACTTATTGGAGGGGTATTCTTTATTCCCTGATCTTTCACCATCAACCAACACGGTTTGCGGCGCTGTGCCGGGCTATGTATCCCAGAGTGCTAGCCTGGGAAATGCCTCATCGTGGTAGTTATTGAAGGCCAACCACTCTGACACCCCAACAGTTTAGTTAGAGAGGCTCAGATCAGCCTCAAGAGCCAGCCCTAAACTCGGACCATCTGGTGCATACCAACATAATAACGCCTGTAGATGTTTGATCGTGGCAGCCATGCTTTTGTGGACGGTACATAAAACGTGAATCCTTTTTTCCAAGAGCCTGGGCGGAAGCTGGCACAAGGCAGGGGATCGAGGCGTTAGCCAAGCGTGAGGAAGTCCAGGTGTTAGCGAAATGATAGTAGTAATAGCCATAGGTAAATGATGACGGTATTAATAAGTTCCGGGGTCGCATAAGTTGGTTGAATATGTGGACATGTACTTCTCGAGCCTGGTGTTTAGACTCGGTATATACACCGATATCGAAGTGGTTGCTCCTGTACGTAATTCGGCCTCGGATGTCCGGCTGAGACAACCAGTGGTCGGTGACGGATTACCAATCGTCGTGGAGGGTCTCTTGTCGAGCGTGATGTAGGCAAAGAAGCCCTCGGTGTTTCCGCACTTACTGTAAATATTATCACTAACAGCTTCTCCGATGTGATCATGTAGTATGTCATGACTATTCGCCTGTGTTGGGCATCCCAGCCAACCACTTTTGTTAGTTATGTTCTATGAGCCTAGCTTTGTATATACTGCTACATCTTTAAAGTTATCCGGGTCGTGAGAGAATTCAGTTTTTGAATAGAACTATCAAGGAATTCCTTGACTTACAAAGATGTTGAATCCGTACTAGTCTTGTGTTAGCACATAGCCGAAGATATATTAGCTATAGCCCGAGCGGAAGAAAGGGTTTTCTTACCAAAATGTGATTTCTCTATTATCAATATTCCATACAATCATGGCCGGTTGTGCAACATGTGTGATTATTCCTTTGACAGGTATATTCGGCGCCATTGAGACCAGCAGGGTGGTATCGTCAATTATAAGGAAGCCTTCAGGATCGTAATTGTGGTGATTCCGTGCATTTTGAGATGTTCGGAATCAATGGCGGTGTATGCAGGATCATGTGCAAAGCACTGAGTGCCTCGAGCGCCCATCCGCTTGCTAAAAGCTTTTTGCATTGTACAAATCAACCTGTGCTGATGCGATACCCGCCACTTAATAATATCTGCCCAAGGGCTTAACCGGTCTTCCAAAGTCTCAGCAATTCGACCACATGTAAATGCAACAATTTTATTAATTGTAAAATTCGCGGGGAATGCCATCATATCCAAAATTGCCTGGATTTCGAGGCATATTTTGCTGGACTCCCATGCCTCTAAGTGCTTCTCAAAAGCACAAGAAACAGTAACAATGGATGGCGTATTCGCGGATATGGTGAGCTCCTTCGTATTTTTATTCCGCAAGACGTGGGTATAATATAGCACCATACTGCAATAAGCTAAATCATCGCGACGTAGATAATGCATGAGAAGTAATGGCGACATATAGTCAATGCCAGCTTTTGTTCGACCTCTATGTAAGCCACGGATATCACCACAAAACACAATCACATAATGAGCATACACAACAACTTAGAATCATCTCACTCAACTACCTGACCAGTCGTCAACTCAAATTCAACAATTACCCCGTCGGCTCCTTTGATTTTTATTTTATGGCCTGAATGTAAGTCTTCCGTTAGCTGTTGGTAGATGCCTCGTATAGATTTCTTCAAAAAGTACGGCACCCCATCTTCATATAACGCTTTGATCCTTGCTTTTGCTTCATTCTCTTCAGTCCTTTCAATTCCGAGTTCTCGTCTATACGACAAAAATCACCAACGTAGGAATAGACACCATCAACTACCTGAGCAACTGGTAGCCTATACATCGGCTATCCAGGCGGGATTGATGTAAGGGAGGATTTTGGACCAGAGGAGCAAACAGAAGCAGCCAGAAGAGGCTGTTTAGGGTATCTTGATATTAATCAATGAAACAGTGCCTGACAAGCAGTAGTGAGTCGCTGACGCTGACTGAGGTTGAGGTTGGAACGACAAGACTCGCACGTGATACCTCAAGTGCCAATTACTAAGCTGTGAAACTCTCGACTGCTTAAGGCAAGACTGGTTGCCAGGACAGTTATCGATAAGAAAACGTTTATTATTTTTACAGGGGGGGGGCAAAACGACGTTTATCAAGAGACGACGAAACTTCACTGCGCGTTCAAGGCTATGGTAGCAACTATCTTCTTCGCCTTGGCTGTTAGCGTGAATGCTATTTCTTGTCTTTCATCCCGCCTCAGATTTCCCACAATCGCATAATATTGCATGGTTAGTTTGGCAGGAATCGCGCTAATAGACTGAAGGTGAGCCATATGAAAACCTGAGCATCCAAAAAAAAAAAAAAATAATAATCAGAATCTAACATTCCAATAGGGAGGTAGATCACGATAAATCCTGATTGATATTTTGCTTATAACTTGATTGGGATATAAGATGGTGAAAGAGCGGGAGCCTCCAAAGATCCCCTCCATCCCCGGAGCGGAAGGAAAGAAGACACAGCCTTCAAAGCAAGTAGAATTTGGAAGGCCGTCACCGCTTGGGTCTATGAGTGCAAACCAGCGTCATCCCTTCGTAATTCCAAAAAGCAACAGACCTCGTCCTGAACATCACCGTCCCGCGCCTAGCTCGACTTTGAATGACAACACGTCAAAAGAAAATGATAAGCGGGCGTTCAATCCATATCAGGCTACGAAGCCATCTTCTTTCAAAAGCCATTCTACCATAACAATACCTGACGATGATAGTGTGGTAGAAATAATGAAGCCTATGAATGCTGATCGGACTACTTGGCGGACACCAGAGCCAATGTTCACCTCAAAACCTTCAGCTCCAAAAATGGGCAAGGCAGCCAGCACGCTAAAGAATTTCATGGACCTTACTGCACCCGATGTTGGATATGGAAGCACCAACAACAGTTTTCGAGATGAATTAGTTGGCTCGGCAGACGCATATTCCTACATTGACAGCGAGAAAGCCAACGAAAATATCAAAGCATTGCTTGAGGGTGCGTTTGAGGATGAAGATGATAAGCCCCGGACAAGGTCACGCAAGAAAAAGGTTGAAAAACAAGTTGATGAACTAGCTGACAAGCTCATGGGAGTCAAGGTGGATGAGAACGGTGGAAACAAAAAATCAGGAGATAAAGAAGCCGAGGAAGTGGAAGATGAAGAGGGAGAGGAAGATGATGGAACTGTGGAAGGTTTGAAGATCAAACTTTTACCTCATCAGATCGACGGAGTCGCATGGATGAAAGATAAAGAGAGTGGTCTTAAAAAGACTAGAGGCGTGCTGCCGAAAGGAGGTATCCTTGCTGATGACATGGGTCTTGGTAAAACTGTTCAGACCATTGCATTACTGCTCACTAACCCCCGGCCCCCAGATATGCCGGAGGGTAAGGAAGAAATATCTGAGAAAGGGAAGGAGAAGAAGGATAAATACAAGATACCCGCAAATGTCTCGAAAAGCACACTTGTTGTAGCTCCTCTTGCCTTGATAAAGCAATGGGAAAGCGAGATTGAATCCAAAATCGAACGATCTCACCGTTTAAGTGTTTGTGTATATCACGGCACTGGACGCACAAAACACAGGGACGATCTGGACAGCTTTGACGTTGTGATTACAACATACGGTACGCTCAGTTCCGAGCACGGGAAAAGCGATGGATGTTTCGGAGTCCACTGGTATCGGATTGTGCTCGATGAAGCACATACAATTAAGAATCGAAATGCTAAAGCCACACAAGCCGTTTATGCATTAAATTCACAGTATAGATGGTGTCTTACTGGAACTCCACTACAGAATAACTTAGACGAGTTACAAAGCTTGATCAGATTCTTACGGATCAAGCCGTATGACGAGTTGGCTGCTTGGAGAGAACAAATCACTCGACCCATGAGCAATGGCCGGGGTGGGTTGGCACTTCGCCGTTTACAAGTATACCTCAAAGCGTTCATGAAGAGACGTACAAAGGATGTTTTGAAACTGGATTCCAAACCAGACACTGAAGGCCCCAATGGGGAGGAACTGAGCGATGACCAAAAGCAAGGGTCCTCTGAAGGGTTCAAAATTGTGAAGCGAGACATCGTTAAGATCGAGGCTGAATTTAGTCCCGAAGAATGGGCATTTTACCAGAGACTTGAACAACGTGCAGACAGAAGCTTAGAGCGAATGATTGGTGGTCAGAATATAAGTTATGCTGGGGCATTGGTTTTGCTTCTCAGGCTACGTCAGGCCTGTAACCATCCTGACCTAGTCAAGGGCGAACTTGCCAAAGAGCAAGATGCCCTGATGGGTGATGATACCCAAGGCAAGAATAAGGACAGTGATATTGACAACATTGCCGATATGCTCGGTGGGCTGAGTATGGCTACTAAGAGATGTGATGTGTGTCAAATTGAGTTGAGCAAGGACGAGACTCTTGGTGGCGCGGCTCGCTGTGGTGAATGCGAGGAAGACTTGAAGACCCAAGTTATCAGCACGGTCGTCGCGGAGAAAAAGCCCAAGCACAGGAAAAAGAGCACAAAGGCAGGGTCAAAGCCAGAGCCCGTGGAAGCCAAAGTGGAGAAAGAGTCCCAGCGAGCCAGGAGCCGCCGGGCCAGACCTATTATTATTGATAGTGACGATGAGGATGAGGATGGAGAATGGATTGTTCCCGAGGAACAACGTAGCTCTGAAATCCTTACCGCGCCTGTGGGATCTGACGGCGAAGATGCTGACGGGGGAGGGGAGTGGATTGGCTCTGAGGACTCTGATCCGGATGAGGATGAGGATGAGGAAGATGCCACTGAGTTAGCAACTGAAGACGATGAGGATGAAGACGAGGCTGGTTTATCTCGGCCCACGCCCGATGCCATCCATGATGTCCAGACTTCGGCCAAAATACGACATCTAATGAGGGTTCTCAAACGAGAATCCGGTCAGTTCAAGTTCATCGTCTTTTCAGTTTTTACCTCTATGCTTGATAAGATTGAGCCCTTCCTGAAAAACGGAGGTATCGGCTATGCCCGATACGACGGCGGTATGAGAAACGACCTCCGAGAAGCGAGTTTGAACCGACTCCGGAACTCTAGTGGCACCCGAGTGCTGCTTTGTAGTTTACGCGCAGGATCATTGGGGCTGAACCTAACGGCCGCAAGCAGAGTCGTGATCCTCGAGCCTTTCTGGAACCCAGTAAGTTGATGTATCCTGACAACCCCATATTTCTATTCTTAGAATTGCCCCAATCCTAACGTCATCATCTTTTGTAGTTTGTGGAAGAACAGGCCATCGACCGTGTCCACCGCCTGAACCAAACGGTTGATGTCAAAGTGTACAAGTTGACCATCAAGGGGACGGTGGAGGAGCGTATACTTGAACTCCAAGAACGCAAGCGCGAACTAGCCAAGTCTACTATCGAGGGTAAATCTGCGGCCGGCAAGCTGACAATGAAAGATATGTTGGCCCTTTTTGGTCGAGATGCGGAGTCACGGTCATGGGATGATGGCAAATTAAGCTTTACGACAAAGAGTAGTAAGCTTTTTGACTCGAAGGAGATGGCGACGCCAGGCTATCAGGCTCAGACATCCGGTGGCCATAAAGGGGGAAGCGGGAAGCGAGCCACGCCGCCGGTTATGGAGCGCAAGGCGAGCGCGGGCTCAAAGAGGGAGGACCCCATCTATGGGCGTCGATGGTAGGGCTACGGGGAAATGTGGGTAATACGACTCCATACCTTCAGGTTATGTCATGTTCATACATCAATAATAGTGGTTGAGTGCATATATCTCCTTTTCATAAAAATGGAACTACAGGGTTATTGCATCCAGCATCATTTCAGCTGTCAGCATCGTAAGAGCCAACCAGCCTTAACAAAGCAATAATCGCGCATCTTTCACCAAGGAGGGCCTTGGCCTGTGTCAGTTCTTTGAGTACCCAAAGTAGGATTGGGAGAAAAAGAACAACAAACGAATATTCCTTCCATCTTTCTAGAAAATCCTGCTACACGTGGAGGAAGGGTCTCGCCTCCACGTGTGAATTCCCATCCATCCGATACCTGCTTAGGACTGGGATAACCTATTTCCGTCCCTTCTCTGTCTCTGTATATAATAATAATAATAATAATAATAATAATATCCCCCTAATATGATAAAATAATATGTTCGTGAATTTCCACGACCACGTGACTTTAAAATCATCATTCCGTTCCCACAACATTTATTTCGTAAAATTCAATCAATCATAAATTTCATAAAAAAAAGCTGACTGGCCCGTCCTGACGGGCACAAATTGAAATATATATTCTTAGCCAATAGAAATACTTGGTTAATAGCTAATTTGTGATCCAATAGGAAGTAGTGAATATTTCTTTTTCTCTACAGCGAGCGGCAATCTGGCTTGTAGAACGAAATGAAAAAAAGGATGGATGCATGGATATATGTACTCAGGTATACTCCGTACATATAATGTGCATGCATTGGTGAAAGAGATAAGTGTTGGTACTCCTGTTCAACAGGCTGGAAATTTCTCTGCCACCCATGTATAGCACCATCGGCATATATGGACACCTGCTTGGTTCCGTTTCATGTCGAGCGATGTTGAATCTGAGCTAAGTGAGAGGACAGCTCAAATTCAGATGCAGGAAGCGTTTCATGTTCTGCTTTCTTTTTTCTTAGCTGCGCCTCTCAAATTGTCGCTCTGTCCCATAATGATATGACTGGTCAAGCTGTGAGCGATCAAACGCGCCAGTTAAACATATTTTTGCGCCCTCTGTGCAAGGTGTGTTCCGCCGAAACACAGCGGGAACCAGGCCAGCTCGCCTCTACTTAGCTCCTATCAACCGGCAGGGTCCATCCTCGCTCGCAAGCAATGGCCAAGCACTGCAGGCAAGGTGATATCTCGAGCCAAAAATTGACAGGACAGTCGGGAAAAGGGGACCAGATTGAGCATCCCTGTCGGTTCCCAGAATATCGCCCACCGACACCCTGTGGCTGGCCGCCAGGGAGTGAACATCCGTGTTTCACCATGCCGAAGCAGGCATAAGTCGGGACCCTTTCTGGCCAAGAGAAAAAAAAATGCTGAGAGAAATGGACAAAGAAAGAGGCGAGGGAAAAGAATTGAGTTGAGGCTGCTCGTATTTACCCATCCAGCTGCGGAGGTTTCTTCTTGTCTTTTCGACGTCGCAAGAGTTCGAGGAGCATTGATGAGTGTCTAGCGCTATAGAAATCAGGCGTCATCGTTCTCTTTCCCCCCCTTTTTTTCTGGCTGCTGGCGAACCGGGAAAAAGGAGTAATTGTCAGCAGATCACATGATACGCTAATGGCGAGCAACCTTGATTGCCATCGAGAAACCGAGCGAGTTCTCCCGTATTCCGTAGTGAATACAGATAGATGAAGAACCGTCTCTGCACTCCGCAAGCGTTCTCCAGATGCCCTGTTCATGGGCGGAGCTCCGGCTCTGTTCCCGTCAGCACTGTCGTTTTGACACTTATATACGGAGTAGTATGGTCTCTATTTTCAACGTGCATCGCTCTATCGATCGCGTCATCGATCGATCGTCGATTATTTAAGTTAATACAACAATGCGGTCGACGAGCTGGCTAGCATGACTCGTTGAGGAGTGATAATATTGAAAGAGTGGTTCTGTCCTATCGAGTGGGTGCAAGGACCTGTCAGCTCTGTGGTCATGTCCACAATAATAGCAGGTACTAAAACAGGTAGAGACGAAAAAAAAAAAAAAAAAAAAAAATAGAACATGACACTAAAAATCAGGAAAGAGTGGTGTGGTTGATCGTGGCGAACGTCAGTTGGCGCCCTTGTTGTCTGATGCTTGCTTTTTAACCTTCACCGGTTCGAGTGAGGTACGGATATGGCTCGGGACGCGCGGACAAGCACGTACTTGGATGGCTTGCCGCCTGAAAGAATTAATTCAGTTCAGAGCACTTTTGACGGAGCGTATAAAGTCAGTACATAAACATCCGAGATGATGCCCGAGAGAATAATATGGGCCTGAAAAGGGGGAGGTGGTTCTCTGGGCCATAGAGTTGGACACACTAGGAAAGTAAGCTTAAAAAACCGGACTAGCCTAGAACAGGCGAAGTTGGCTTTTTCGATGTCGGCGATCAAGGGCCTTGCTGAGCCTTACAAGGTGTTGGTGGGTGGTGTGTACCACTGTTGATCGCTGTGTTAGCAGATATAGTTCAGCTTCTCATATACGGAGTACTACTGACTTAATCCGCGCTCCCGTCTCCCCATGTTTCTCCACGAACTAGCGCCATCTCATCGGCCCCCGTCTTCCTGTCCGCGTTGTTCGTGCCTGACCGTCGGGTTTTCTTCGTCTGCTCCGTCGCCAAATGCCGGGATTCTGCCGCCTTAGTCAGCAATTCACGTGGCGCCACGAGGGCGGCGGGCGGCGGCAGGACGGCCCAGGGCGGTGAGGACGGCTTGGCGTCCTGGGCTCGCCAGACGTATATCATGTGATTAAACGTGACTTAACATGTGACCTATCTGTTCCTGAACCGGACAAGATCGGCGTTCCTTCCTTTTTAAACTTTCTTATTTTCGTTTCTTTTTCTTTTTCTGCAAATAAGAAAAAGAAGAAAAAAGGGAATGTCCGAAAGGGGAAGTTCCACGTGGAATATTGTGAAGGGAAAAAAAGTGTCAAGAGCGAAACCTGAGGTTCGCTCCTTCCTGTAACGACAAGAAAATAATTAACGTCAACCTCACAACCTCAATTTCAACCTCAACTCGTTCTATTACGCTGAGCAACAACAGCGCACAAACACACTGACACTTCGATACTTCCTGCACGCTTGCGTTTGACGCCATTATTGCTTCACGTCGAGCCCGGACGACGACGTCGAGTATATACGACCTTGTCACGGAAGAAACGGATAATACGACCACCAGAAAACGGCTGGATCTGCGGAGTTTCGCCCGCCCTGACCCTGCTTCACCACCCAACCAGCCTCGCCGCTCGCCAGATCCTTCAAGCGGCTTCTTATCCCTCCAGCCTCACGCAGGAGAAAAGGGAAGCATCAGAAAGGACCAGACAGGCACCCATGCGTTGATATTGAAGAGGTAACATCCCTACACAACTCAACCTAACGGGCGAGTATCCAGTATCTGGGACGAGTTGGCTTGCTTCCGTCCTGGACCTGGTCCACTCTCCTCTCCCTTTCTCCCCAATCACACCTTCACTTGGTTCTCGTCCTTCCATGCCAGAAGGGCAAAAAGAAAATCATCCACACGGCTCCCTTCTGCGTTTCAGATTCGTTCTCGGACACACGTACCTCCACCAAAAGTCTGGCACTAACAACGGCCTCTAGCCCTCCTGGCTACCGACTCTCCTCCATCATCATCACTCATTACGCTCATTCCGTCGAGTTCTTTCAACGACCATTCCTCTTTCAACGGACACTGCTCCTCCGAACTCGACATCAAAGCAATTCTGCCCAGCTTAGCTACCACTTTTCTGCTTCTTATCTGTCCATGCAGAACGGGTTTGTCTCCTTAATCCAATCGAACGCTCACAGCGGCTGCTGCGGCTGAGATGGGTAATTCTCAGGGCAAGCTCTCTTCTTCAGATCACCCAGGTATGTTTTTCATCGTTCTCCTGCGGTAGACGTGTATGTTAATACTCTATTAGTCAATTTAAACCAGTTCAGGCTACTTCGTGTCGTGGGAAAAGGTGCTTTTGGAAAGGTTCGCATCGTCGAGCGGAAAGATACAGGCCTTACTTTTGCCCTGAAATATATCAGAAAAGATGAAGGTAGGCTCCCCTTTTTTCACCTTTTCCGGAATCAACCTCATATACTCACTGCATTAACCAGTCGTCCGGTCGGAGAGCGTGCGGAACATTATTCGCGAGCGGCGCATGCTCGAACATCTTAACCACCCCTTTCTCTGCAACTTGAGATACAGCTTCCAGGATATGGAGTACATGTACGTTGAGCGAACATACACGGTGTATTGATTAACTCGATGACTGTTGTCATGCTAACAATCTCTAGATACATCGTTGTCGACCTCATGAACGGCGGTGACCTCCGTTTCCATATATCGAGAAAATGTTTCACTGAAGAGGCAATTCGATTCTGGATGGCCGAGCTTGCATGCGCTCTTCACTATATCCACGGGCAGGGCATTGTACATCGAGACGTTAAGCCAGACAACATACTACTGGACTCTGAAGGACATGTTCATCTTGCTGATTTTGTAAGTCACCTCTGCAAACCTCAAGACAAAGCAACATCCTAATCCGAAGTTAGAATGTCGCCTCAGACTTTAAACCCTCGAAGCCACTTACCAGCAGATCCGGAACAATGGCATACCTCGCTCCTGAAGTCTTCCAAGGAGGAGGCTACCTATCGAATGTTGACTGGTGGTCGCTCGGGGTAACTTTCTACGAATGCATCTACAGTAAACGACCCTTCGATGGCCGAAGCCATAGCTCTCTCAGCGAAGCTATTATGCGCACTCAACCCAAGTACTACGTAACAAACCCCGCCGTTACCGTCCCCTGTCTCCATGCTCTTAGTGCATTACTAGAAAAGGACCCGACGAAACGCATTGGCGCCATGAACTTTGAATCATTCACTACTCACGCCTTCTTTGCTCCTATCGACTTTGATGCCCTCCAGAGAAAGGAGATTGAACCAGTCTTCGTACCGTCCAGTGACAAGACCAACTTTGACGCTACGTACGATCTCGAAGAACTTCTGCTTGAGGAGGCACCGTTGGAAGCGCGTGCCCGCCGCCAGAAACCCCGCGCTGAACTCAAGGATGATGCTACGGCCAAAGAAATCCGAGAGGACGAGCTTCACCGTATCATAGAAACCATGTTCGAGCCTTTTGATTACACAACGATGAATTATGAAACCACTGCTGCCGCAGCCATTGCTGCCTCTGCTAACCCTGAAGACTGCCTCAATTTGACACATCGCCGAGCCAGCGACGTCGACGCCGGCATACTAATTCCCAGGGTCGCTCGGGCTCCTCCTCGCCCTCGGTCCGAACAGATCGCTCGACCCGAACGGACAAGTCGACTAGGACAGAAAAATCCTACCGATCTACCGCTTCCGACGGACATGGCCAGAATAACGTACCAGTCGATAGTGTAAACCCTGGTTCCCCATCCTCTGATCGCGGCGGCGCCCTCTCTCGCTCTCCTCCAACCCAACCTCCTCCCGGTCCCCCTTCGCTCCCGTCCCAACGCCACGCTAACCGTTCTCATACCATCACTTCGACAAACCAAGGCGTTCCACAGTTCTCCCCGCCTCCGCCACCGCCGGCTCAATTGCCACAACCCCAACCTCGCGGTGCGACCCGAAACCGGAGTAAATCTGGAGGTGTCCAAATGGTTCTCGAAGAGACAGGCAGTTGGTCCGGACTGGCTGATCAGACCACTAACGGGGATACTCTCCCAAACCATGTGAACGGCACCAGTCTACAAAATGGAAACGGGTCTACTACGGGTGCTCATGGCAATACCTCTGGCGGGATGTTCTCTTTCTTCAGCCGAAAGAAGGGTAGGGAGAGAAGCCCGAAACCCTCCGAGCGTGGAGTACTAGGCAAGGAGGGCGCCCGAGTTGTGATCTCCGGCTGACCTAGCTGAATAACAATGTGATGTGCCATTACTTGGTGAAGGTGCGAGGATACGACGCGATGGA